TGGGACTGCAAACTAGTTCAACCTCTGTGGAAAGCAATATGGAGATACCTTAAAGCGATACAAGTGAATCTACCATTTGATCAGCAATCCCATTGCTGGGCATCTACCCAAAAGATCCAATGACACTCTACAAAAAAAGACACCTGCACCTGAATGTTTATAGCAGCACAATTCATAATTGCAAGGCTGTGGAAACAGCCCAAGTGCCCATCAATCCAAGAATGGATTAATAAAATGTGGTATATGTATACCATGGAGTATTATTCAGCTCTAAGAAACAGCTATAGCACATCTTATATTTTCCTGGTTAGAGCTGGAACCCATATTACTAAGTGAAGTATCCCAAGAATGGAAAAACAAACACCACATATACTCACCAGCAAACTGGTATTAACTAAGCAGCACCTAAATGGACACATAGGTACTACAGCAATTGGGTATTGGGCAGGTGGGAGTGGGGAGAGTGGCGGGTATATACATATATAATGAGTGAGATGTGCACCATCTGGGGGATGGTCACGCTGGAAACTCAGACTTGTGGGAGGATGGGGGAAAGGGCATTTTTTGAAACCTTAAAATTTGTATCCCCATAATATTCCAAAATAAAATAAAAGGACTACCAAAAAAACCCCAAAACTCTAGCAATCTTCATTTGTTACTTCATAAGATGTTAATTCTTCATTTTGGCTTTCAAGACTTTCTGTAATCTGGCCCTTGCTACTTGACCAACTTTATTTCTGAGTCTTTTCTTAATAATCGAATACTCTGACCTATCCTGTTCGAGCTACTTTTGCCAGCCTTAATTGATTTTATTCCCAGTATTTAATAAAGAAGAGCAATTAATTAGTTAGATGATAGTCTGATCATTAGGCTCATGGTCTCTTCATACATATGTTTAGTATAGGGCCCAACAAATAAACTAATAATGGTTCTAAATAGGTACTAAGAAAAATTTTAGACTATATTTGTGCTTTTTTAAAGGTTAATTCTTCAGTACAAATTAGGAAAGTCCCAAAGATTTTATGTAGAATTTTACAATTATTAGGATTTTGTTATTTTTGGATATTTGAATTTTTCAAAGATATAAATTTGAGACTATGATTTAATATTTTATGTTTTAAGAATATGTTGGAAATTAGCAAGGGAACTTTTAATTACCAACTCATAAGGCTATGATAGTGCTTAGTAAACCAGATCTAAAATAAATAACTTAAAAAGAAAAATATTCTTTAAATTCATTAGTGAGGAGATATAATTAGCTTTTTATTTGATGGAAGAAAGTTTTTATTTGATTTGACTTATTTGATAGGAAGAAGATTTTAAGATCATCTTTGGAGTGATCTATCAACTATACTAGTATGTTAAATAGTCTGAGCATATGAGCAAAATCTCACTGTAGCTAAAAATTATAAATAAAGATTATTCAAACTCAAAAATATTTTTAACAGCTACCATGTACAAGGAACTCTGTTCGGAGCTGTGAAGAATACAGAGGTGCAAAAAGATTTGGTGTCTATCCCAAATAACTTAGAATTTTGTGGGGTAAATAAAAAATACAACATATGAGAAAATATCTATATGTATAACAAAACTATTTCTAAGTTTTAGGAGATTATCGGTTTTATCAGTGCTCTGATGACCTAATTGTAACAAATACTTTAGAATAAATGTCATGATCGTAATTCTATAAGGTGAACACTGAAGCTTAAAAGAGAGACGTGGACTCTAAGCGAACTCTTTATAATTGAGGGTTAGGTTTTTAGAGGGGTGATGTTTTGTTTTGTTTTTAAACCTCATTGGTCTCACCTCATAAAGAGTACAAAAGTTCTGGAATTCTTAAAAAGAAAATATATGCTAACAGGCAGCAAGTCCCTAAATTTCCTGTATTGTTAGTTCTCAATGAACATAACCTGTGTTTATGCCCTTGTCCTTCCTTATTGTCATAGAATGTGTCCCCCCTTCCTCCTCCCATGAAAGTCAGCTCCTCTGCCTGTGCTCTGCACACTGCTTTCTTGCCTCCCCAGGAACCTTAAGCTATGAATTATGATCCCTTTCATCTCCTGTATTTTCAGCTTCTTTCCTCTCAACTAGATACTTCCCATTAGAATTCATACATGCTCAAGGTTTTCCAACTTTAGAAGCAAAACAAAACAAAATCAGCCTCAACCTACTTAGTAATTTCTTTCTCCTCACATTTACAGCCAGACTGATTTCTTAGAAGAATCCTCTGTTCCCAATCCACTGTCTCCATTTTCTCACCTACCAGTCATGTTTTAACCACTCAAATAAGGAACTTCTCCCCAAAGTCACCAGTGACCTCAATGTAGCTAAATTCAGTAATGGCTTTTAGTCTTCTTCTAACTTGATCCTCTCAGTAGCACCTGACACTGTTGGCAGACCTACCTGCAATATACTTTTTTCCTTAAGCTCCATGACACTAAACTCTCCTGGTTTTCTTTCCACTTCTGGGTACTGCTTCTCAGCTTCCTTTGACAAATAATCCTTGACCACTTGACCTTTTTATACTGCGGCCTGGAACATAGCAAGAGATGAGGTCACAGATGTAGGTAGGGGCTTCATGGAATATAATAAAAGTATTGTTGTGAATGCTAATAATATTAGACTTTTATATGTATTTAATATAATTTCATAAAATAGTCAATCACGGTGGAATTTTTATTTGCATAACTTCTATATGTTACTATTAAGGAGCAACAAGCATTGAAAAGTATGATCTCCGTACAAATATGTGGACCCCTGTAGCGAATATGAATGGGAGGAGGCTACAGTTCGGTGTTGCAGTGTTAGAAGACAAACTGTATGTGGTGGGAGGAAGAGACGGGTTGAAGACTTTGAATACTGTAGAGTGCTACAACCCCAAAACAAAAACTTGGAGTGTGATGCCGCCGATGTCCACACATAGGCATGGCCTTGGTAAGTATAACTGCAGATTCACTCAAGATACTGCATACTATACAACCACAGCATTTTTGCATTCTGCACCAGCTAGAAGGCGGCCGGTGTGGCTGCTGCTGAGTCCACAGAAATCAGTCACCAAGCATTCTTCACATACTCCCTGTTATATTTTACTCTGTTCCATTTTTTATTAGCACTTATCAATACCTGAAATGTATTTTATGTCTGTTTCCTATCTAAAATATAAGGTCCATGAGGTCACAGCCCTTATCTGTTATGTTCTATGGAGTGCTTGGCACTTAGTAGAAACTCAGTAGGTATTTGTTGAATTAATTAAAAATTAAGCTGGCTTAACTCCCTGGTGATGAATCATACCAATAGATTACACTTTATTGATACGATACATCACCAAGGAACCAAACCAGCTTCATTTGTTTATTTATTCAACAAATATCAAATCTAACTGTAGTAAAATCTCATGAATTTGAATTAATAGGGGGAAAGGAATAAAAATGCTTTTTCAAATATATCATAAATCAAATTATGAAAAAATATTTTAAATAGTGGCAATGCATGCATCCGGTGTAGTTTTAAAATAATTTTCCATTGTTGTACCTTAAAATACTGCCTCTGAAACTTTTAAGACCAGAACTACAGTGCTATTTCCACCCCACTCACCCACTAAGAAAAGCAGTGAAGAAGCCAAATATCTATATCATAAATTTTTGCTTGGTTTAATTTGTATGTTTAAGGCTTATTGTACTCATATTTCAGTTAAAATGTGATAAGACTTAGCAGCAAATCTTAAGTCCTTCTTTCCTGTCTCCTCTTAGGTGTGGCTGTACTAGAAGGTCCCATGTATGCCATCGGGGGGCACGATGGCTGGAGCTATCTGAATACAGTAGAAAGATGGGACCCTCAGGCTCGCCAGTGGAATTTTGTTGCCACTATGTCCACCCCCAGGAGCACAGTAGGTGTGGCAGTACTAAGTGGAAAGTAAGGAATTATTATTTTTTCTTTTTTTTCTTTATTTTTTATTTCGGCATCTTATGGGGATACAGATTTTAAGGTTTCAATAAATGCCCTTTCCTCGCTCCCCCTACAAGTCTGAGTCTCCAGCATGACCATCCCCCAGATGGTGCACATCTCACTCATTATATATGTATATATACCCAGGGCCCTCCCCCCTCCCACTGGCTCAATACCCTATTACTGTATTACCTATGTGCCCACTTAGGTGCT